CGCGCTCCCAAGCGGCGCACTCTCCAGTGTACCACCAGGCCGGCCCTCAAATAGCTATTTTAATTGAATATGAATATATGCAATATTCTTAGGTCAGAGACCTGAGAGATTTTTTAATCCCTTGATCATGTGAAGCCCAAAGGGGATTAGTGAACTGCTTAAGGTAACATGGGGACTTTGTGAGGGAGCTTTTGGATCAGGCTTAAAACATACCTGCCCTGCATCCTTTTTAATATAGAGTGATACATGATTTTAAGAACAGTATAAAGAACCTAAAGGCTGGATCTGGAATAATATAGAAATAATAATTTCTTTAGCTTACTAATATAAAAGCTTCTCTTTTCTTATTTGTACTAGGAAAACCTCTGCATGTTAGCTTCAATCAAACTAAGAAACAAAGAGCATTTCTCTATTTTGGAAGGAAAATGGATGCCTCCTGTTCCTTTTATTATTGCTTTGAAAGCAGCTGGATTGAATATCTTCCCTACTGGACACTCTCACTTTTATGTTGTTATAAACCATAAGGCAAGAATAAATCTTTCCAAATTTAATGTAGTGGACATTTAGGATGTTAGCAAGTATTAAATTTTATATAAACCTTAAGGTATAACATAAATTTTATATATTCACTTATATAGGAATATAATTAGAAAGGAAAGAATAAGTGAAAAAACCAGAAATCCAGGGTTCTGTCAAGTTTAATAGTTTTCTCCAGGAGAGTGAGCCTGTAGCATGATATTCATATTGATAATCAGACCACACCCAAGATGGTCAGTGCAGTGCAAAGGTAGTCTGAGAGACTTCTCACTTGGTGCATTTTCTCTCTTCCCGTGACTGGACATATGTAAGATTTCTTAAAAGAGTAAATCACTCTGCACTTTCCCAAACATGGTAAATCAGGCAAAATTAAACATACAAAGACCACCAATGTACAAAACCCACTTCCTCTGGTTTCCTGGCAGAGCACGCATGTGTGTTCTGCTTCATGTCACTCATAAAGCTTTAGTTAAGATCCTTCCATGTCGAACTGTGAGCTCCTTGAGGACAAGCTCTGTTTCTTAACCTTGATTCTTCCATCACCTATCATATTCCTAGAATACAGATGGTGTTTAATGAGCATTTTTATGTTAATGAAGACACAAAGTAGCTTCTAATCCTGAAAGGTGTGTTTGTAGGCAGAGGAGTTCCATACTCAAGAACATGTTTATGAATATACCAGAAAATGACAATATAGGTAGACATTCATGCAACATTTGAGAATAATCATATAGCTAAGGATTATGAGCATATATGCACAGAAAAAAACCCTTGGTTTTAATAACTCAAATTGTCGGTTGCTCTGCAATGCTGAATGTAGTGTCCTGTTCATGTTTTCAGAATATTCAAGAGAATTTTTTTCCAAACACCTATGTGCTAGGCACTGTTTTAGATGATTAGGATAAATCTGTGAATAAAGCAATAGTCCCTGTCCTTGTGGAGCTTACACTCCACTAAAGAAAAATAAACATAAATGATCTAATACGTTAAAAAAAAAAAAGTGCTGTGGGAAAAAAAAAGGCAGATCAGGAACAGCGGGGTTGGGGCAGTATATGATATTAAATAGGGTGTAGAGAAGGGCTCAAAGAGAAGGTAAGATTTGAGCAAAACTTGAAGGTGGGGAATTTAGCCAAGTACATTATCTGGGGAAGCAGCTTCCAGGCAGAGAGAACAGCTGGAGCAAAAGCCCTGAGGGACTGGCCTGGTGTGTTTGAGGATTGGAGGAACAGCAAGGAGGCCCTGGCCTGGAACTGAGAGAACAAAAGGAGATCAGGCTAGAGAGATGACGGGGTATACGTGGTGGTGATCAGATCATGGAGGGCCTTGTAGATCATTGTCAACTTTGGACTCTACTCTGAGAGGGAAAACCATTGCCCAGTTTTGAGAGAGGAATCACATAATCTTATAATTTTAAATGGATCCTTCTTTGTTGAGAAGAGACTGGAGGAGGCCAAGAAGTGAAGAAAGACTTGTTGGGAGGCTCTAAGATCAATTCTATTCGTTTTTATACTGACAGGTTCCTTTGGTAGAAATGAAAGCTTATCGACAAATGGCCTTGTTAAGCTCTGCTTTTGCGTTTGGTTGGAGCAAGTGGAATCTGCTGTGTAATTCTACAAAAGTTGTAGTTAAGGTATAGTATGCACAAACCAATAAAACTCCTTTGTCCTCAAAAAGAGAAGGTACTCAAACACTAAGTGAATGTAGACTGACTTCTCCAAGGTAAAAAGAAATCAACATTCAAAATGGAATTTTTAAATTTCAGATTTTTTTTAGTTTGTTAATAAGATAAAACCAAACTATGTAAAGGTCATTCCTTCATTGTCCGTTATGGTATCAAATGCTCTTGACTTCAGGCCAGAGTCTTTATTCTCTTTACATTGACTAAAGAACAAATGGAAGCCTTTAACGTGAAATATACCTGTGATTCACAAACTCTCTTGTGAGAGGATTAGGCCTCCAACTTAAATTTCTGACAACATTTACTACTGCCTAATAAAGAAGGAATCTTATCAAAGTCTAGAAGCTGACTGATGAATGTTTTAGCATAAATGAGCCACCAATATTTATTTTTCTTGTTTACTGTGTGTTTCCTCCACTCAAATACAGGGTTTTGTTGTTGAAGTTATTAATATATTTGGGGGTGGAGGGGCTGTTTTGTGTTTTGTCTCACTGTTATATTCCTAGCACCTAGAATAGTACCTGGCACATGATAGGTACACAATAAACATTTGTTGCATGAATTAATACATGTGGGTAAGCTCTATAAACACCAAGATATGAACAGTTTCATGGCTTTTCTTTTTCTTTAGGTGAGGGAACACCTTACTAAAGAACCTATGAATCCTGATTGGGACCTTTTAATGTTTAGTGGTGACAGAGCACAAAGACTCAAAATCGATGAAGATAGCCAAACCTTCTCTGAAGCACTTAAAGAAGAAACTGAGTTTCATTCTACTTTATATCACATGGTTAAGGACTTTGCTTCTGAAGAAGCAATGGAGAAAGTCAGTAGCTCCGACTGCCAGTTTATCGACTGTGTGTGCCAAATGCTACTCTCCACTAGATTACTCAGCTATTCTTAACCTCCACTTGCAAATTTTTATTTGAAAGGAAGAATCAAGCATGTTGGAAAAAAAAAATCAGGTATTTCTTCAATAAAGTGTAATGGATCAATATATTTCAAATAGGCTATTAAAATTGTATAATTAGCATTTTATACTCAAATTTTATTTTAAAGTAGGGTTTTTTTCCTTTGAATATTTGGCCTATTGAGAATTTCAACTTTTACTGTATGAAGATTTAAATGATTCTTTATTTCAATAAATTTTAGTAAAACAATATATAATATTTCTTCCTCAAAAAGCTCATTAAAAGATCATAGGCAGGTTTCTTCCCCACGGTATATTAGGTGGGGAGGTAATCGCAAACGAAAGCGTGTAAAGTATCTTACAGTCATTCTGAGAACCTCTGGTTTCGCGCTATACTCGCCTGGCTAAAAGTTACTAATTTATGAACTTCAGATACTGAAACTTTAAAACTCAAAATACATATATTAGGATGTGCTGCAGTCACACTGGCGGTGGCCCATTGTGTCGGAGTCTGGTAAATGGCCACAAGATATGTTCTAGAGAGATCCAGGAGTCCCCTTCCTGTGTAGGAGCTGCATCCACAGACTTCTGGAAAAATCGGCCTGTGAGGAAGCTCAGCAAAGCTGCAAGCAGGATGATGAAAGCAACAGAAAGCCAGAATGCCTTGTTAGCCCTTCTCATGGGAGTCTTGAGATTTGTTGCCCAGGAAGCTATTGTGTCACAACTACAAGAAAAACACAAACACAGAATTCAGTTATCACAGTAGTTCACTATTAGAAAGATTCCTTTTGCTAACAAAACCAATCAAGTCATTGATCTGCCCTACATATCACGAACACTACCTTATAATCTATGTATTATGATTTATCATCTTGGCTTTGGGCACAATCTGCCCCCTACACCTTAACATTATTAAAGAAATGATATTCTATGATGAGAAACCAAACTATGCAATTTAGGCATTCTTTAACTCCTAACAACTACATCTGAGTATTTATTTCATTCTTTCAATCAGGTCAGGCAACTCTATTCCTCAGTAGAAACAAAAATATTACTCAGTAAAGCAGGATACATATGTATGTACTATGTACGTGTACTGCACATAAACATGTCACTTACTTCTCACATATCCTATACTTTTGCTGTACTAAAATTTAAACTATTTGTTCTAAAAACACCTCCACACACAAAAAACTTATTACAGCAATATGTAAGTCTTTGAAAATAGTTAACTCTGTGCTAGACACTGTACAAAGCATTTTACATGAGCTGATTAATTTAATCATGACAGCAACACAATGACATAGGTACTATTATCATCTCTATTTAATAGATGAAAAAACTGGTGCTTTAAAATGATAAACTTGCCCAGGTCACGCAGTTTTAGGGAGCTGGAATTTGAGCCAAGGCTGTCTGGATCCAGAGTCAAGTTCCTAACACTGTACACTCTCCTGCCTCTTGTAATACAGATGCAGGGATAACTACTGTACAGCATACAAAGTTTGTTATTCATCTCAAACTTAACAATTTGACATGGCTTTCAATAAAGTCATTTGAGTAAGACTATTACTCCTAACCCTGCCTTACTCTTTCCCATCCCACTAAAGTGGTATCATTTAGCAAGTAGACAACTTACACTGAAGAGACATCCCACTTAGATGGATTATTTTTCTTTTCAGAAAGACTTGGCTTCCTTGTCCTTTCTACTATTTCTTCTCCAGGTGGTTCTGAGTCATCTTTAGTTCTGTAAATAAGTATTATTTTTAAATATTCAAAACTAAGGATAATATACCATGTTTATAAAATATTGCTAAATTTTACTGTATAACTCAAGAGGCTCATGATTATTTGTTTTGCTTTAGGAAGATTTAATAAATACGTAATTCTAAAATTCAAATCACCAAATTTATAATTTAAACATTTTAAAGGATTTTAATTTTAAAAAATAACTTCCTCTATTTAGAAAAATAGTAAATGTTTGTGTAGAAAGTTGGGATATTATCCAGGCACAAAGGAGAAATTAACAAAGAATATATAAAAGTTAGTCTCACTGCTCATAATTAACCATTTGTTATTACTGTGATTTATTTCTCTGTATATATATGCATGTTTTTTTTTTCCTTTTTGTCTTTTTTCGTGTCCGGCAATATATATGCATGTTTAATGACACTTAAAAAAATGTGGATACCATATTTCTTCCTCTTCGTATTTTTTCATTCACTATATAGAAAACATTTTTTCATTATTAAATATTCTTCTACCATATTGTTTTTAATATCCTATATGAGCAGTTGATTTTTGATCAATGCTAACTTAGAGTTACATCAAAATTTACTTCTTTCTCTAAAAATCTTTATTTTATAAGTGGTTATGAAAATATTCTCAATGTAAAGCTAGTTAAACTGGTATTCAATTATGTGGGAAATAGCAACTGGATTGACTGTAGTTTAAATCAAATCATTATGTAATGAGGGGTTGCTCCACTTGCACTGAACAATTGTTTCATTATCGTGTTCACTGATGAATTCCTAGTTGGATCTGAATATTTGAATTTTGAGATTTCAAGCTCATAATGCCCTCAAAATTGCCAAAGGGAACTGTGTCTCAAAATTTTTTTTTGGCTGGCTTGGTGGGGGTGGGGGGATGGGAGGCTGGTCAGTACTGGGATCTGAATCCTTGACCTTGGTACTATATAACACTGCACTCTAACCAACTGAGCTAACCAGCCAGCCTCGATGTTTTTTTCAGTTGAGTATCTATAGAGAATATATGTGGTAAATTTTGGTTTCCTTTTTAAAGGAAACAAGGCTCAAAAGCCAGAATCAATTGCATTCTTCTATGGTTCTGAAGATCTCAGTCTTTTGTTACAAAGACTTCTCAGTAGAAATCATACCATATGAACAAAAAGGAAAAAATTTATTCTAATCTTTTGAAGGAAGTTCTTGATTTTTTTCCCACCCACCTCAAAAAAAATCCGTTATGTAAACTCTAAATCTGAAAAGAGTTTGCAACACATTCAATAGGCTCCCAGGATTTAAAAAAGAAAAAGGACTCTCTGAGGATAGGCACTATGTCTTGTTCATCTTTATATATCTTAGGGTGAGCAGCGTCTATCACATAATAGGCACTCAGTGAACGTAAAATCATTTCATTAAGATCTCTTAAATTAACAGATGTGGAAACTGAAACCAAGTAAGGTTAAGCAATTTGTCTAGTGTCACCCAAGGGCTTAGAGGCAGCATTTCTTCATGTCCCTCCTTCTTGTCCTCCCCTCTTCACTATAGAAGTATATTTCAATTTATTCTCCTAATTTACTAGAGAGAGTGATATAGTTTTACGTATTCCCTACTCTTTATTTATATAAATGGAAAATAGGTGTATGTGCATGTTACATGTGCCTTTATATTATATATATGTTATGATATGTTACATATATAGATCATGTATTTTTAAAAATCTAAGTAGATGGACATTTATTCTCCTAATTTACTAGAGAGAGTGATATAGTTTTACGTATTCCCTACTCTTTATTTATATAAATGGAAAATAGATGTATGTGCATGTTACATATGCCTTTATATTATATGTTATGATATGTTACATATATAGATCATGTATTTTTAAAAATCTAAGTAGATGGACATTTCACTTCTATGGCTCTTTATTGACCTTCTCCACTGATGGCCAGATACCTGGACAGGAAGAAAAGTTGTCTTCACAAATCTGGCAAACTCCAGTGTCTTTTCTAACTTAAGATCTCAAACCTTGCCTTTCTGAGAGCTACAAGAGTGACTATATCTACAAATGACATTCGTATAGTGCTTAATAGTTTATAAAACTCTTTCACAATGAATGATGCGGCATTGATCTCATCTCTATGGAATAAAAGTGACCCCCGTTGTTTATGCCCCAGGTTCATGTCAGGTTAATAAACACACCAAGCGTCACCTACTTCAGTTCACATTTTTCCTCTTCAGCATCTGCCCAAGAATAGGTGGTAATAAATCGATGTAATGAGGGACGGTGTTCACTCTGCTTTGACCCCAAAATACGCCTAAATAAAGACGATTATAGCCACTTGTCAAATCAAATACATCTGTAGCCATTATCAGTTTATATCCTACTGTTTAAATCAATAAAAATTATATGTTCTAATTAAGTTTTTTCGAGGCACATTCACATAACTCCTATTTCATAATTTAAAAAACTATGACCACATACCAATTTTTGTAGTTATTTATTCTGCTTATATTCTGTACAAATCAAATGTTAAAGTGCCACTTATTTCAACCACTCATTTACTTTAGCCCAATTATAAAGTAGTAAGGTTCCCAAAGAGCAAGATAAAATTACACTTACCAACTGCTTGACCTCCTATTGAATCGGTCATTATTTTCCATCCCAGCAACCTTTAAAAGTTGAGATGTTAAATAATAAAATAAGAATTTAGTGAAGCAAATTCTTATTTTTTGTCATATGAAAATGAATTTACTTTTGATGAAGAATACTTAGAAAGTTGCTTACCATTCCTACATTTCCAATATTTCTGGGTAAAGAGGCAATGGTCACTCTTCGAAGAGAAGATGGCTACCCAAAGAGGGAAATGTACATTAGAAAATTCCCAATAATTTATCCTGGTGTGCAACACTGAGGAATATCCTTGTACATACACATCCATACACTTGACCGCTTCTGAGTTAAACATCAGACATACTTAGAAGGATCTTGTTTTGGCCAAATTGCCTTCCAGAAATATTTGATTTATATTCCACTTTCTCCAACATTGGGTTATTATAATTTATGCCAATCAAACAAGGAATATAAGGTTTCTTATTTGGGTTTGTCTTTATTGGGTTTGACTCTGGTAACATTGAACTTTTTTTTTTCTGTGTCAAATAACCATGTATATCTCTGCTCTGAGAACCACCTATTCACATTTATGACCTTTTTCCATATTAATTTTGTTTATATTTCTGGCAGAAAACTTTTCATGGTCAATCCAGCCAAGTCTAATTTTCCTTCATGCTTAGATTTTCACCAACTCAAGAGAAGATAAATATGCACCTATATTTATAGCTTTTCAAAAAGCCTTCTCCAGGGAATCAGCAGCAGAGCAGCAATTTAGCTCAACCACAGAGCTCAAGTGCTGGTCCCCACAGGAAGTTCCCCCAGTTTAGAAGTAAGCAAAGGACAACAAATTAGTTCCAGTGCAGAGTTAAGTAGTGGGAACAGCAAATAATCTAACACAGAACTGAAAGAAAAAACAAAATACCCACAGAGCAGAGACAAAGTTTGATATTAACACTAAAAATCTCACTTTACCAAAGAACACCTGTAAAATCTATAAGGACCACAAGCCCCCTGGACCCCCAAGCCAGGGAGGGGGAAGGACCGGAGGCCTCAGCCCTGTCCCCTGACACCCACAACCAGCCCAGCGATGACCACTGAGCCACCACAAGAAGCATCCCAAGCCCCCAAACCAGGATGGTGGGGGACTGAGGGTCTCAGCCATGTCCCCCTGACATCTGCATTCAGTTCAGTGACAACCAAGCTACCACTGGAAGCCCCCTGGTCTCCCCTGCAGGAATGAGGGGGTGTCGTGGGCCTCAACCACGCCCCTCCTTCCCCCTTCCCCTCTCCCCCTCCGACCCAACTGCTCTGCAACATCTTAGAATGTAAAACAGATCGAGCTGCGGACCAATCCCTCCTCCCACAACCAGGCAAGGAGCACTCCAAAAGCACCAGTTCCATGTAACCACAGCCACCACAATAGCCACGACTGCCACAAAAGTGGCTAGATGCCACAACCACCGTGCAGATGGTCTGCCAGCCACCCGAGTGCATTGATACAAGGAGAGTCACTAAGGGAGACCAAAGAAAAGAAGAGGACGTCTCTCTCCACAAAGCCCATTCCAGAGTGACAGAAAAAGCATCTGCTCTACGATAACAGTGTGGACCTGAACATACCTCTCAGCACAGATCATCTAGGCAACAAATCAACAGAGGAACCATTACTCTTTCAGAAGCAGAGAAGAAATGTAGGGTTATCAGAGGGGAGGGGGTTGGGGAGATTGGACAAGGGGCATAAAGAGTAAGTACAATTTGTAATGATGTGTATGCTAATAATATTGATTTCATTGACATACATCAACATTGAACCCGAAAAACATGTACAATCGATTATGATACAATAAAAAAATTTTTTAATTAAAAAAAAAGTAAAGGAGGGCTGGCCCAGTGGCGCACTCGGTAGAGTGCGGCGCTTGGGAGTGCGGTGGCGTTCCCACCGAGGGTTTGGATCCCATATAGGGACCGCTTCCCGCTCACTGGTTGAGCGCAGTGCGGGCATGACACCGAGGGTTGCGATCCCGTTGCCGGTCACGAAAAAAGACAAAAAGGAAAAAAAAAAAGTAAAGGAAAATGTTATATTGGACTTATAGAAAGTGTCTTTACAGGGAGAGAGAACACCTGTCTTTGCTTCTTCCTTTTTCTTGGAATGTGACGATGTAATGACGAGGACTTGGTGCCTGGATCTGACGTAGCCATCTCAGACTACGAGGTGGAAGCCAAGGGCTGAGGGTAGCGAACCAGAAAGAAGGGAGGGAATGATCTCTAAGGATTTTGTGAAGCTGCTCTGCCACTGTGATTCTGCCTAGTTCCAGCTTTGTTTTTATATGAGAGAGAGAAACTACTGTACACTGGCTTTCTTCATGCTGCCAGGCAAACTTAACTGACATACAAATATAGCAGGAAGTACAAAAGCATACTATATAAACAAATACACACACATGTACATACACACATATATAGGAATTAAAACCAATGTTTTGTAACTTAGATTTAAAGGCATGTAGCTTCAAATAATATTTTTAAATCATCTTGTTTATAAGCATTTAATAGACATTTGTTAAGTGAATTAGTAATTACCTTGGAGTTTAGAGAAGCTGAACGTTTTTTAATTTGGCAGTCATCTGAAAGGAAAAACACATTTGGACATTTTAGAAGTTACACATCAATCTATGTTAAAGCAATGGTCTTTTTTTTTCTTTCCGCAGCAGCAGGCCAATATGGGGCTCTGAACCTGTGGCCTTGGTGTTACAAGGCTGTGCTCTAACCACTAAGCTAACCCATCAACCCTATGGTCTTAATTTTTAACAAACTAAATGTCAGAAAGGATTTATTTAAGACTCTAGGGACTACTGACCAATATATCTGTTTATCATTTATTTGGTGATTCATAAAATTACCATCTTAACCAATGGAATACATCCTCTGTGAATGTCTACAATGTCTAATGCCTACTTAGGACATAGTGGGCACTAAATGAATGTCTGAAGAAAGGAATCCAAAAGTAGAGTCCAGAAGAGTATCAAATATGGTTACTCTAGAAGAGGGAATAGATCACTAAAATAAGAATTCTGTTCAGAAAAGTCCAGACTGTTTATTTAAAATAAAACTTAATGTAAGATTTATAGAAACCATGTGTTAAGATATTTTCCATAGCCTCATATGTGTCAGTATTTTCCAAACCATCAGGCAGTTTGCTGTGCCAGGGTCATTCCTTCTTTAGGAATCCAAAACCACTGTTGATGAGAATGGTTCATTTAAATTGTTGTGCCTTACGTTATGTGTGGAGAAAGAGCCAATTCTAACATATTCTAAATAGGGGAACACTACAGTCAACTTAACGAGTTGGACTAAATACAGTTTATTCTCTCAGCAGTAATCTAAATTGATTTAACAAATTTTTGGTGTCATGTTTCCCAACCTATTTTCTGACACCTTACTTTTGGCTAAATAACAGAAATGAGTTGTTTTTCTAATATAACCTTAATCTAAGGGTCTTATACTAAAGACATCATAAGACTTAGTAAGAGAGTGCATGGAAGAGGAGAATGTTAGAAAAACATACCTAATACTAGTATCAAACTTTTATTACCTTCATCTTCAAGAGGGTTAAAAGACCTTTCATTCTGCAAAAGAACCTGTTTCAGTTCTTCTAACTCAGCATGCTCTTTGGCGTACATTCTCTTCAAGTTTTCTACATGCTGAATCATTACTTCAACCGCTTTACTGACTCGGCTTTCCTAGCAGAACAAAAGGAGAAAATTTACATTGGAAATACTATTTTTAATACTTAAGTTAAAAGATGGCGATTAAACACGTGTTTACCTTCACTCCATCCCTAAATCTCAATAAAATGACAATAAAGGTATTTTTTTTAAAAAGACATGATTTGACAAGGACAAACAGAACCGAAGAGGCAATAATAGCAGCACGATTTTGAAAGCTGGTTAAGTTAAAAGATGGCGATTAAACACGTGTTTACCTTCACTCCATCCCTAAATCTCAATAAAATGACAATAAAGGTATTTTTTTTAAAAAGACGTGATTTGACAAGGACAAACAGAACCGAAGAGGCAATAATAGCAGCACGATTTTGAAAGCTGGGTAGTAGAAAGATTTGTGGTAAATCACTAAGATTTGGAAAAGGTGAAACCTAAAAAAGGCAGGAACAAAAGTTTAGAAGCAACCTGGGTTGCACCACAGAAAACTTCGACGTCTTAAAAATTAGTGGCACCTCTGGAATTGAGACTGAGGGTGGGTATGTGAACAGAGGAAATAGCTGAAAGTCTGTGTAAAAAGTAATTAGACTCACAGATCCCTCCCTTACTCTGGCCAGCAGAGCAAATTCCGCTCCACCATTTTGGTGAAAGACTATATAAGGCTGAATATCTAGAGAGGAATAAATAGAGGTTCCATGGATTGGTAAATAATAGACAGGTGATGAGTGAATGTATTATTCTGAAAACAAATTTAAGCAAAAATCTGTATACATATTGAGATCTCTCAGCCATATTCCTCCTTCCAGCTCCCAAATGCTGGCAGCCAGCATTTGTATTCTCAAGGCAGGCAGTTGGATGATGTTTGTCACGGGAATCTAACACTCAAGGACGAAAGTCCTACTGACATTAGGGCACCCAGTGGAACATCCTTGCTTGTGTGAAGCTCAGAGTCAATGAGAACTTTGCTCACTCAGTATACACAGAACTACCAGTCAGCTCTATGGTAGATCATCAGATGTCAGAGGAAAGCCTCTAGCATGAAAGGAAGAAACCAAACCACAGAAAAAAGCAACCTGGAAATAACAGTCTGTAGAAAAACTAAAACTTCAAGGAAACTATCAATATCTTCAGAGAGTTAAGAATAATTATTGCATCCATGAAATAAGAAAAAAGTATTATTTAAAAGATATAGAGCATTAAAAAATAAACATCTAAAATTTGAAAATATGACAAAAATAAATCAATAGAAGAGACTCAAGATAATGTTGAGGAAATTTCTCTGAAACTAGAGCAAAAAGACTAGAAGTTAGAAAAGAGATTAGAAAGCTGATGAGACAAGATCAGTTCAGGAGATCTGACATTCAAAGAATAAAAAGTCAAGAAGAAAGTAAAACAAAAACAAACAAACAAAATTCTACAAAATGAAGAAAATGAATTTATTCAAGAAAACTTCAGGGCCGGCCCGGTGGCGCACTGCTATAGTGCGCCGCTTGGGAAGCGCGGTGGCGCTCCCGCCAAGGGTTCGGATCCCACATACAGACCGGCCGCTCACTGGCTGAGCGAGGGGCAGGAGCGACGCTGAGGGTTGCGATCCAGTGGCCGGTCACGAAAACAACAACAACAACAACAAAAAAAAAAAAAAAAAAAAAAAAAAAAAACAAAACTTCCAAAACTCATAAACATAACTTGCCAGTTTGAAAATGCCCACTCAGGACCTAAAACAGTGGATAAAAATAAACCAATACCAAGGAAAAGAAGTAGGTAAGAGAGGATATCTTAAAAGCTTCAAAGTAGTTAGAAGAGTCTATAAAAAAGAGTCGACATGGCATCAGACTTTGATAGCAACACCAGACCTAAGAAGAAAATTAAGTGATGCACGGAAAATCCCAAAGGAAACAATCCCTAACCTAGAATCCTTCACCCAGTCAGACTATAAATTAAGAATAAAGACATTGTCAGTAACACAAAATCTCAAAAAGTTTACCTCCCACCAAAATGAAAAAATATACCAGCAAGAGGGAGACAAGAGATCCTGCAAATGGGATTCAACTCAAGAGAGAAGTGAAAGGAATCATCATTTAAGAGTTCTCTAGACTTTTGTGACAAGCCTAAAGAACAAGCAGTCCAGATTGGAACAGGTCAAAAATCTCTGGAAGCGACATCACAAAGAAGAAGAAATTTATAGCACACCTGATGAGTTTATTAAATGTACTGAGAGACCTAGAATGCTCTTCCTAGAGTTAATCATTTTTCTTTGCTATGATTGTTGTATAGTTAGTTTTCTACTGACTTCTAAGTCATTCCCAAACTCTTCTAAAACTTTATTCTTTTTAATGGCTAAATAATATCGCACTTATGCATATACAACAGTTTGTTTACCCACTTATCCATTGATGGATATTTGGAATGCTCGCAGTGCTATGAATATTTATGTACAAGTATTTTCTTGAGTATCTGTTTTCAATTCTTTTGGGTATATACCTAGGAGTAGAATTGCTCTGTCATATGATAATTCTATATTTAACTTTCGAGGCACTGCCAAATTGTTTTCCACAGAAGCTCAACCATTTTATATTTCCCCTAACAAGGTACAATGTTTGCAATTTCTCCATAAACTCACCAACATTAGTTATTTTATTTTTTTTCCTTTCCTTTTTTTATTATAGCCTTCCTAGTGGGTATAGAGTAGTATCTCATTGTGGTTTTGATTTGCATTTACCTAATGATTAAAAATGTTAAGCATCATTTCACATGGTTATTGGGTCATTTGTATATATTCTTTGAAGAAATGCCTATTCAAATCTTTTGCCCATTTTTTAATTGGATTGTTTGTCTTTCTGTTGCTAAGTTGTAAGAATTCACTATATATTCTGGATACTGGCCCCTTATCAGATACATGATTTGCAAGTATTTTTTTCCCATTTTAAAACTGTCTTTTCACTTTGATAACATCTTTTGATGCACAAAAGTTTTTACTTTTGGTGAAGTCTAATTCATCTATTCTTGTGTTGCTTCTTTTGGTGTCATGTGCTCACTCATTTAGCACATATGTATTGACCACCTACTATGCATTATGCATGTTTAGACATGGGAGATACAGCCATGAGCCATACAAGTACTGTTGGCTTCATGGAGCTTATAGTCCAGTGGGAGGAGACAGACAATACACAAGATGTCAGTACAATACGTAGTATGTTAGAAGGTGATTACTGCTATGAAAAACAAAAGACAGGAAAAGGGTTGAGACGCTCTGGAGTGGAGAGGGAAAGAAATTTTTGCACAGAATGTCATGGAAGTCGGAGTAGACTCTTCTATGAAGCTGACATTTGAACAAGACTTGAAGGAGGTAGGATTAAGACATGTAGATACCTGGAGGAAGAGTATTCTAGGCAGAGGGAGCAGTTAGCACTAGGGCCTGAGGTGACAGTGCACCTAGCCTGTCTAATGAACAGCAACGAGACCAGTGTGGTTGTAGTACAATCATTCAGAGAGGTAGTCACAGGAGATAAAGACCAAGAACTGAGAGGGCAGGGCGATCCTGCAGATCCTTTTAAGCCACTGTAAGACACTGGTTTTTACTCTGAGTAAAATGAGGAGCCCCTGGAGGACTTTGACCAAAAAGTAACATGATCTGGCTTAATTATTTTTTTTTTTTAGTTTCTCCTCCCCAGATTTTTAATGAATCAAAATTGATTATACAAATTTTGGGGATTCAACATTGAGATATGTTGATCAAATCAATATTACTAACTTACATATTGTTACAAATCGTAATTATTCTTTATGCCCCTGGTCCAATCTCTCCCTATCCCCTCCTCCTCCCCCCCCAATCACCCTAGATTTCTTCTCACCCTCTGAAAGAATAATAGTTACTCTATTGATTTGTTGCCTGGATGACCTGTCCAATGCTGAAAGGTGTGATCAGTCCCCCAATATTATCGTAGAGTAGATGCTTCTTCTGTTACTCTGGAATGGGCTTTGTAGACAGAGACATCCTCTTCTTTTCTTTACCTCTGCTGGTGACTCTCCTTGTGTCAATGCACTCCAGTGGTTGGCAGACCATCTGCATGGTGGTTGTGGCATCTAGCCTCTTTCGTGGCAGCTATGGTTGTTGTGGTGACTGTGGTGGGCCACCCACATGAAGGTGATGTTTTTGACATAGCTCTTTGTGCTGGCACTGTGCCTAGCTGTGAGGAGTGTCCAGTCCCTGGATCCATGCCTCGGGACCCTGGGCAGGCCCCAAGGTGCTGCCACAGTGTACCTGGCTGTGGGAGGGAGGTCTGGCAACCAGCTCCAAGTCTCAGGTTCCCAGGCAGGCCCCAAATCACTGACATGGTGTGCCTGGTTGGAGGGGGGGGTCCAGTCTCTGGCTCCATGCCTCAGGTCCCTGGGCAGGGCCCAGAGGTGCTGGCAGTATGCCTGGTTGTGAGAGAGGGGGTCACTCCACTTCTCCATGCCTGAGATCCCTGGGTGGGCAGGGGCTGGCGTGGTGCCTATTTGTGGGAGGGGATCTGGCCCCCAGGCAAGCCCCACGGTGCTGGAGGTGTGAGTGGTTGTAGGCAGGAGTCCAGTCCCTGGCTCCATGATCTGGCTTAAGTTTTTAAGTTTAAAAAGCTTTACTCTGGCTGCTTTATTAAGAATAGATTATGTTGGGAGGAGGAATATTGAATGAAAGCCAGGAGACCACTTAGGAAGTTATTGTATTAATCTTGGAGAAATAAAATAGTGGCTTTGATCAAGATGGTAGTGGTGGAGAGGCAAATAAGTGTTTGAATTCTAGACATATTATGATGGTAGAGAATTTTCTGTAGGATTAGATGCGGGGTGAGAGAGAAAGGTGTTGAGAAACCTCCAAGGAGTTTTGGCCTGAGCAACTGGAAGGAGTGATCAAGATGGTAGTGATGGAGAGGCAAATAAGTGAATTCTAGACATATTATGATGGTAGAGAATTTTCTGTAGGATTAGATGTGGGGTGAGAGAGAAAGGTGTTGAGAAACCTCCAAGGAGTTTTGGCCTGAGCAACTGGAAGGATAGAGTTGCCCTTGGCTGAGGAAAGGAGATCATGGGTGGGCAGGTTTTGAAGATACCACAAGCAATTTACTTTGGAATATATTAAATCTGAGTTGCTTATCAAATATCCAAGTGGAAATGTCAGGTCAGCAGTAGTATATTCATGTCTGGAACTCAAGGGAGAGGTTTAGGCTAAACCTATGAATTTGGCACTGGATCATATGGGGGTTGGGTACAGATGGACGTCAGATGTACAAGAGTGGAGTCCTGGGAGAAGGGGTGGAACCCGCAAAGGAGCAGCCCATGACATAGAGGGAAAAGCCTGGGGAATGTGGTGCCCGGAAGCCAAGTGGGGAGAGTGTTTACAGGAAGAGGAAGAGCTCAGCCATGCCAAAAGTAGCAGATGGGTTGAGGAAGATGAGAACTGAGGAACTGAATTTGGTAACGTGGAGGTCACTGGTGACTTTGGCAAAATCAGCTTTGTGGAGGCAAAAGGCTGACTGCAGTAGGCTTAAGGGAGACTGGGAGGGGGGAGATTGGACAGACTGAGAACCATTCTGTGGAGGAGATCTGCTATAAATGGGAGCAGAGAAACAGGGTGGTAGCCAGAGAAGAAAGGGCCAAAGATTTTTTTGTGTTCATTTTGTGTTATTTTTCCCATCTTAAAAACAACGTATTTGTGTGCTGATGGGAATGACTTAATAGAGTGTGAAAAACTGAAGATGGGGGAAAGCTGTAGAATTGGGGCCCATGACTCTGAGTTAGAGCAGATGGGATCTTGTATACAGGTGGGTGGCTGGGCTTAGACAGCGTGAGAGACAACTCGTCTTTAGTAACAAACAGAAGGAAGGTGGCGTGTAAGGGTTCAGATGCTAGCAGGTTCAGGGCTTGTGGCAGATCCCTTCTGATTGTCTCAGTTTTCTCAGTGAGACAGGAAGCAAAGTCATTATTTGACAGAGAAGATGCAGGGGACGTGATGGTGGTTTGAGGAGGAAGGTGTGAAATTGACATCTAATGGAGGGTGAACACAATGGGAAGCCCCGAAGAGCCACTTGAGGTTTGCGATGATGAATGTGATGAGCACGGTCAGCATAAGCGTGTGATGCTTCCCAGTCCTGCAGGCACCAGCAGGTGAAGAAGTGGATTGTGCAGGGCCCTGGATTTGCCAAGCGAGTAAAACCAAGCAAGAAATGGAGAAGTGTTGAGGGTTCATACAACGTAGTGAATACTGTGTTTGACCTTGGAATTTCAGCTTGGTCAGGAAAGAAGAGAAAACGACAAGAGGGTGAGAGACACTGAGAAGTTGTGAGGGGGCAGATACTGGAAACAGAACTAAATATTCACCTTCATAGTGGGAAAGCAACAGATAACACCTAAAACTGAAAATGAACCACTAAACGGCAGCTTAAGCATGTTACTTAGAAATATGGATATATTAAATACAAATACAAAACAAATGAGCTAAAAGAGTTGAAAGTTGTTGCTCTAGAGTATGGGAGATGGATAATAAGGCTTCTTTTTAAAACTATGTGCACCAGGTTGAGCACAAGGCACAGTTTCTTTATTTTTAGAAAAATAAAGAAAAATATTCTCTAGTTCTCCAGAGAGGGGTTAAAAAGGAACTGGGATATTAAAAGTGTATAATATATGATCAAACTAAAATTACCACCACAATATCTTCTTTTAGAGAAAATACATTTTAACAATTATGTTTAAGGATAGCTCAAAAAAAATTCAAGTCTCCTCAGATTTGCCCACTAAGAAATTTTGAAATGCTACTTCAAGTGCACAAAGATGCTTGTACAAGGATATTTACTGTAGCATTGTTTATAACAGCAAAATATTAAGAATATCATGAAATGATCAAATATAAGCAATTGGTTAAATAGTTTATATCTATTCAACCCAGAGAACACCATAAAATGGTGATACGTGTGTCACCATTTATATATTTATATCACATGCTATATAAATTATCTATGCTATACGTTTAAAGAAAAAAACCAGATTATAGCACTGTATGGAGTATCTAGAAGAATATATCACAAATTTTTTATGATTGTCACTGGCTAACATTAGAGCTTTTTCTCTACATTTGCATTTGTATATTCAATTTTTTCTATATTAAACATGTACTGTATGTCTTATATAACAAAGAAGTATTTTTCTAAAACTTCTTTCTAGAAATGCAATCCATAATCTCAGGGAAAATCAATCCTTTTAGTAATTTCACTGTAACTAGAGAAATGGAGACAGGTTACCTGAGTAATGGCTCCCAGCATCTCAGCCCTACTGGCCACTCGCACTGTGCACTGGCTCAGAAACGTTATGCTCTTCTCCAGCTTCTTAATGATTTCCTGGGCCTGGCTGTCGTCTTCACACAGAGGTGTTAAGGACTGCATAGAGAACAAAGTATTAAAAAACATCCAACACAAGCATTCAGCAACTGATTCTAACACTGACTAAGTCACAAATCTGGATTATATTCCAAGCTCAAGGATCCTGGTAGAGGGTAAAAAGAAGCAGCAAAGACCAATAATGAATAACATTGAAATATGAACAGCTTTGTTGGCTAACAGGTAGATATATGCAGGTGTTTACAAAACCCTTTATGTCTCTTCTTGATCCTTTTTTACTTCCCAAATTTGTCACTTCCTCACATGCATTCACATCTTTCTTCTACAGTTAACAGAAGGGTCTACAACTAATTTGTAATGGTAAACAGACCGTGCTTATAAATGAGTTGAAATGTATCATATGAAGAGTATAAGGTGGAATTTTGAGAAAAGTAGCAAAACATACTGGAATCAGAAATGACTGACTATTATACCTGCTGTTCCACTGATGATCAGGTGTGATTGTGCTGGCTAGGTGAGTATGCCTTCATTGCCTTATGAGTATTCCTCTCAAACCTGCACCCTTTATCCAAGATGATGTCCTTCCTGATGAAGGACAGTCCTTCTCACTAGGTTAGAGACCAAATTAAGAGAACAGCAGATTTGGAAGCAAACAAGCCATTGCTCATTAGTTGTGTGACTGTGAGCAAATTTTAAGACTTGCCAAAATCTAAAACACCATGAATTGTAAGTGATATCATTACTTTAAATATCAAAGTGCTGCCAATAAAACCATTAGGCACCATTAACTGTAAATTGCATCATAATTCTAGAAATGTTAAAATGTCAACCGTTCTGATTTGTTGTTTCCTCTTCTATCAGATGAAGAGAATTACATCTCCTTTCCAGCAATACTGTGATAGAAGTAAGAGATACCAATTGCTTGTCACACAGTAGGTGCTCAATAAATGACAGCCACTTTTGATACAGACAGATATGTATAAGTCATGGCCAGAGAGTTGCTAACCAATTAAAACAGCTATTGTCAGACATGCAGTTTCCTACAGTAGTTTAACCACACCCACTTGGGAAGTGTAGATGTTAGTCGTTAGCAAAACAGAATATGGTTAACTAAGATACAGACAGATATGTATAAGTCATGGCCAGAGAGTTGCTAACCAACTAAAACAGCTATTGTCAGACATGCAGTTTCCTACAGTAGTTTAGCCACACCCACTTGGGAAGTGTAGATGTTAGTCGTTAGCAAAACAGAATATGGTTAACTAAGACCGAGTCATGAAAAAATAGAGAATGTGAATGGACCTAAAAGTGGTAAGGAGACTGAATCAGTAATCAAAAACCTCCCAACAAAGAAAAGCCCAGGACTAAATGGCTTCACTGGGGAATTCTACCAAACCTTTAAAGAAGAATTAATGCCAAGCCTCCTAAAACTCTTCCAAAAAATTGAAAAGAGAGAACACTTCCAAGCTCATTCTATAAGACCTGCATTACCTTAATATCAAAGCCAGACAAAGACATTGCAAGAATAGAAAACTACAAAACAGTATCCCTGATGAATACTAATGCAAAAACCCTCAACAAAATACTTGCAAACTGAATTCAACAGCACATTAAAAGGATTATATGCCATGACCGAGTAGGATTTATTCCTGGAATACAGAAAATGGTTCAACATAAAAATCAATGTAATACACCACATTTACAAAAGGAGGACAAAAGCCACATCATCTCAATTGATGCTGAAAAAGCATTCGACAAGATTCAACATCTTTTTATAATAATAATAATAATAAAGAAAGACACACTAAAAAAAACTAGGAATAGAAGACAATTACCTCGTAATAATAATAATAATAATAATAATAATAAAGAAAGACACACTAAAAAAAACTAGGAATAGAAGACAATTACCTCGACAAGATAAAAGTGATTTATGAAAAATCCACAGTGAACACCATACACAATGTTGAAAGACTGAAGCTTTTTCTCTAAGATCAGGAACAAGGTAAGGATGCTCACTCTCTCCACTACTATTCAACACAGTAGTGGAAGTACTAGCAAGAACAATTAGGCAAAAAAATAAATAAAAGGAACCAAATCAGAAAGGAAGAAGTAAAATTATCCTTGTTCACAGATGACATGACTTATATGTAGTAAACACTAAAATTTCACCCAAATTTACCCTGTTAAAATAAATGAATACAGCAAAATTATAGGATACAAAATTAACAGCCCAAGTCAGCTGTTCCTATACACTAACAATTTCCAAAAGTAAAATTAAGAAAACAATTCCATTTACAATAGCATAAAGAAGAATAAAATAAGAGTAAACCTAACCAAGAAGGTGAAAGACTTGTACACTAGAAACTACAAATCATTGCTGAAAGAAACAAAAGACACAAATAAATGGAAAGACATCCTGTGTGCATGGATTGGTAGACCTAATTTTGTTAAGATGTCTATACTATCCAAAGCAATTGCCAGAGTCAAGGCAATGTCTACCAAAATCTCAACATTCTTTTCAGGAATAGAAAATTTCATCTTAAAATTTGGAATCTCAAGGGCTCTGAATAGCCAAAATAATTTTGGAAAAGAACAAAGTTAGAGGCCTCACACTTCCTGATTTAAAAACATATTATAAAGCTATAGTAATTAAAACAGTATGGTACTGGCATAAAAACAGACATAAAGCCTAATGGAATAGACTAGAAAGCCCAGAAATAAACCCTCATGTATATGGTCAGATGATCTTTGACAAGGATGCCAAGAAAGCACAGTGGGAAAAGGACAGTTTCTTCAACAAATGGTATTGAGAAAACTGGGTAACCACATGGAAATGAATGAAGTTGGATTCTTGTCTTACACCATATTCAAAAGTTAACTCAAAATGGATTAAAGAACTAAATGTAAGACCCCAAACTAGAAAACTTCTAGAAGAAAATATAGGGGAAAATCTTCATTGCATTGGAGTTGGCAATGATTTCATGGGTATAATACCAAAAGCACAGGCAACAAGATTTAAAACAGACAAATGAGACTACATCAAACTTAAAAGCTATTGTGCATCAAAAGACCCAATCCAGAGTGAAAAAGCAACCTACAGAAGGGAGGAAATCTTTGCAAATCATATAACTGATAAGGGGTTAATATCCAAAATACATTTTTAAAAAACTCCTACAAAGGGGAGAACAGGACTGTGGTTAAAAAAATAATAATAGTAAAATAAAAAAATACAGCAAGTCAGCAAAAAAATTCAAATAGCTCAAAACCTGGACAAAAGTCTTAAACAGACATTTTCCATAGATGATATACAAATGGCCAACAAGCATATGAAAAGATGCCTAACATCACACTATCAGAGAAATGCAAATCACAATCACAATCAGATACCACCTCATACCCATTAGGATAGCTACTACAAAAACAAGCAAACAGAAAATGACTAGTGTTGGTGAGGATTTGGAGAAATTGGAACCTCTGTGCACTGGTTCTGGCAATATAAAAATGGTGCACCTGCTACGGAAAACAGTATGGTGGTTTCTTAAAAAATTAAAAACAGAGTTACCATATCATCCAGCAATTCCACTTCTGGGTACAAAAGAGTTGAAAGCAGGGTCTCTCAGAGATATTTGTACATCCCTGTTCATATCAGCACTGTTCACAATTTCCAAGAGGTGGAAGCAACCCAAGTGCCCATTGATAGATGAATAGATAAGCAAAATGTGGTGCACTCATGCAACAGAATATTATTCAGCCTCAAAATTTAAAAAGGAAGGAAATTCTGTCACATGCTATAATATGGATAAGTCTTAAAGACATCATGCTAAGTGAAATAAGCCAGTTACAAAAAGACAAATACTGTATGATTCCACTTATATGAGGTATCTAAAGTGGTCAAATTCACAGAAACAGAGTAGAGTGGCAGTTACCAGGGGCTGAGGTGAGGAGGAAAGTGGGAGTTAGGTATAGAGTTTCAGCTTTGAAAGATGAAAAAGTCCTGGAGATCTGTTTTGCAACAACGTACATATACTCACACTACTGAATTGTGCACTTAAAAGTGGTTAAGACAGTAAATTTCATGTTGTATATTTTTATCATCAGACAAAAAATAACAGAACATAGTTTCCCAATTTTAATTTTCTTCATCCAAAATTAAGCCTCTTAATTTTCCAACCCATCTCTAAATTTATAGTAACTTCACAAGATGGAAGGATAATCATAGTTGTTACACTTCTGTGAACTCTTTCTTTTCTTGGCACCTTAAAGTAGGCTTGTCCAGCATCCGACAAGACTGAAATCAGTCACCACTCTCTTTCTTTAGTTAATCATAAATCGAAATAGACTTGATTCTCTTGTACGAAGCTTAAAATTGGTATTATCTCCTCTTGCTCAGCTTTCTGCATGATTATTCTTCCTCCTGAACTCTATTTGAAAATCCACAGAGAAAGTAGATGACTCATACAACCTGTGTTAAAAGATTCTCCTATTTGGGAAACTTTTATTCCAGCCTGATCCTGAATTCTTACTTTCTATTCATTTACATTTGGGTCAGGCAGGCTTGGTACCTGGTGTTAGTTTTAGTCATACAAGTAAACTCGTATGTAATTATGAACACATCATTAAAAACATGAACAAGTGTATGTACAGTCCCCAAATGTTCTGATTCTCACCTCTAATAGCTTTAAACAGTTAGTGATCTCCTCCTTCAAATTTTCTTCTGCCAAGTCCCGGGACCTCTCTTCAAGCTTCACTCTTTTCTCCAAGGTAAACCAGTCACACTTAAATCCCAAAGATAATCTGAGAAATTCTGCCTGTTGTCAAAATAATGTGAGAGTGAGAAGAGAAAATTGGATGTGGTCAAATATTTTAGTTTAATACTGGGTTATACCAAGGCATTTTGTTCTCCTCCCAGCAACCTAATGCCAACATGCATGAGCTTTACCAGCACTTTGGCACCACCTAGCCCGACAGACACCAAATGTAGGAGAGCTTGTGCAAAGCATGAAGCAACTGGAGCAGGTAGGTTGATTTTTGTTGTAGTTTTTGTTTTTGTTTTAAAAATGAGCTTTACCAGCACTTTGGCACCACCTAGCCCGACAGACACCAAATGTAGGAGAGCTTGCGCAAAGCATGAAGCAACTGGAGCAGGTAGGTTGATTTTTGTTGTAGTTTTTGTTTTTGTTTTAAAGAAAAAAATCATTTTCTTTAAACTCACCTCCACTTCCTTCTCATTAGCAGAAGTGCTGTAAGATAACACAAATAACTTGTTCAAACAGAATCCAACAGAAAAATAAAACATGTTAACATAAATAAACATGCTATGTGAAGAAGCACTTACTTGTCACTTTGTGCAAAGTTAACTGATTTCATAGTGGTTGCTAGAGGAGGGGAAACCACAGTGTCTGTTAAAAGACAATACAATATTATTTGGTTAAAAAAGCTTAACATCTAAAAGCACATTTGATCAAATGTCCTATTTCCACTGAATAAAGGCATTTCATTTGAATATACCTGAGAGGACAGCTGGCTAAAATGTGTTTGCTTAAATGATAAAATGTTATGGTAGCTATTGAGATCACAATGACATTAACATCATGGGCTCACACCTTAGCATGTGAATAGTCTTTGAAACCTAGGACAGCCCAATTTGTTCCTTTTGCATTTGAATGTTTATTTTCCTCAATCTCCTGGTTAAATGCACACCTTCTTCTGGTACCCTGGTTCTTCTGTGGCTCAAGCCTTTAACAGCAGCAGCAGCAAGAGTAATGGTTATAACAGCAGCAGTAGTCGTAATAATAGTAATATTGATAATAACAGCAATAATAGCATGGCATCAACTATTTATCACAGATTTCCTATATTTATTTATTTACAGTTCCAGAACAAAGCTCTCTACACATATTTTCATTTTCTTCATATCAACTTTGTAAGGCACAATATATGTCACTAAGAGCACTGGTTTTAGAGTTGAAAAAAAAATTGGCTTAAATCCAAGCTCTGACTCTTACAGTTACGTGACCTTGAAAAAGTCACATCTTTGTTAAGCCATCTACAAAATAAGGATGATATGATTTGTATACAGTAGTTAACTTTTATGAGAACTTCTGTGCCAGATACTTAGTTCTAAATGCTTTATACATATTAATTTATTCAACACACACAGCAAACCTTCTGTGGTAGATACTGTTCTTACCTACATTTTACAGGCTAGGAAACTGATTTATAGTTTATCGACCTCACATAGTACCTGGAGAACTAAATAAAACTATGCACCTTAAGAATTTAGCCTAGCACTGACTGAGCATATAGATATTCTCAATAAAGTATAATTTTTTAAACCTGTTTCCATTTTACAGAGGAGGAAACTGAGACTCGAGGTTAAATAACTTTCTAAAATCACATAGCTAGTCAGAGATTGACCCAGTCTAGAGTCTGTGTGACCCTAAAGCCTAAACTCTATGCACTATTCTATCCTAATGGAGACAGGTTGAGGAGGGAAGCATATTAGCTCTTATTCTGTGAAGACTGGCTTATTCACTTTTAGATAGATACTGAAAATAGAGCTTAGAATTTACTACCAGCATTGACTTGGCTCTCAGCTCCAGGAATGGAATCAAGAATTGGTCCTCTAGGCTGATTGCATCTAGAAACATGAAACTATAGGTGGCATATCTTTACTTAGAAAGATTTCACCCACGAAAGTTTCAGCAGGGAACAAAAGTTTACATGAGGGTTGAGAAAGAAAATTGCTTACCTCCTGCAGTACATTCTTTTCTATGCTCTTCTATTGTTTCTGATTCCCCTTTGTTTTCCTAAAATCATAAAGAGATTTTATTGCTGCACATAGAGTGGAAATCCTTTATAACCAATCATTTCCCAACTTCCTGTCCTCTCCTAACCCTACTCGGTCAAAAACACCCTGTAGTATTCAAGGAAGTGTACTAGGAATTAAGAAGAAAACAGTACTGTGCCAGGGGGCTTCCAATCTAGTTGAGGCAAAAAGTACATAAATATATGAAAAGCTTCACACATCACACAAGGTAGCACAAGGCAAACTAGAATTAATTGCCAAATAAATGAGATATAGGTAAACAACGCTCTGATTAGGAAGGAGAGAGGCACCATGGCTTGAGTGGCATGGAAAGTCTCTGCAGACAAGGAACATGCTTGACGGAGAGGTATGAGAGGGTGGATGAAGATGTACGGTGGTGGTGGTGGTCTAGGGCTACCATGTGTCACTTTCTATATGGGTTTTTTGGGGAAATTGTGGCAAAGATAGCTGCTAACATTATATTATGTTAGGCTTTTAATCCATATGAAAATGTTTTAAGGTCACTGACCAACTGTCTTGCCAATGTATTTTATAACAAAGGTCACCATAATAACACAGCTGTACTGTACTCCCTGGGGAAATCTGATGGGAAAACTTCAGACATGCAATCACTTTTATGGTAATAATTGTTCAACATTCTCAAATTAATAGAGAAATTTAGAAAACTAAAGACATTTTCTGTTAAAAAAAAAAAAAAGAGCCTAAGACGACATGTGATACATGTGATACAAGAGCCATGTGATACATTGATACCACATCACATGACGTTTAGACAATTGGAAGAGTTGCCCATGACTGCTGTTTCCAGGTCTTCATCGCTCTTTCCTGATCAACTAACTATTCCTGCACCCAACACCCAAGGAAACTGTTCTCACCAGTTATCAGTGAACTCCCTATTGCCAAATCCAACAAATAATTTTCAGTCTTTATCTCACTTGACCTCACTGTAGCATCTTAACCGATCTATAAATCTCTCCTTCCTGAAGGTTTGTCTTCCTTGGTTTCCCTCTCTCGATGGCTCCCCTCCCCCTCCCCCATCACGACAATAGCCCCTTCTCTATTAGATACTGTTCATCAAGATCCCATTATCCCCAGTGCTCCCTTCCTCAATCCTTGGGAAGTGTCATTCACACACTTGGTTTTTTGCTCATAACTCACAAATATGTGTCTGCCCCTAAAAATTGCATGGGCGAGTTAATGAATATGGGTATGTCATAACTCACAAATGTGTGTCTGCCCCTAAAAATTGCATGGGCGAGTTAATGAATATGGGTATGTAGCTATATATAAAAATCTCTTTGCAGACTACTGATATCCCACATCAACCTGAAACTCGATAGGTCTCAAAAAGATCTTATTTTGCTCCACAAATTATAGTCTTCCTCCCTCCCTACTCTCATGTTATTCTATTCATTCTATAGGTCAAACCATAAACCTGGCTGTCTACCTCTTCCCACATCCCTGACATGTTACTATCCACTCTGAATTCTACCCCCAAAATATATATCAACTTAATCTCTTTTCCTCTGTCCTCACCAAATTCATACTACCCTAATCTCTTTGCCTGAATTATCACAATAGCATCTTGTCCCACCACCTCCATTATTACACCGTTCTAATCCATTATTTTTAAGTCTTTATGTCTATCTTTTTTTTTGAGATAAGGAATTTTTTTCTTAGAATATTCAACTATGAAAGATTAAAGGACTCGAGTTTTCCTCTGTCCATTTTTTTTTTTTTGTGACCTGTAAGGGGATCGTAACCCTTGGCTTGGTGTTGCCCGCACCATGCTCAGCCAGTGAGCGCATCGGCCATCCCTATATAGGATCCGAACCCGCGGCCGCAGCGCTCCCAGCGCTGCACTCACCCGAGTGAGCCACAGGGCCGGCCCCCTCTGTCCATTTTTAAAAGGGGCAACCACTTCCAGCACATGTGCTAGCCAACACTAACACCTCATTCACACTTCACATCACAGTCAAAGAGTCATTCCAAAACACATATTCAAACTTTCTACCGCTTTTAGCCTGGTTAAATTTTTTATCTGTGTTGTATATGCTGTAAAATTTTTTGTCTACCTTATTGTCCCAAATGTATCCGTGCCATAATCTTCTCTTAATTTGAGTTAGCTTGCATCAGTCTCTGTTTCTTACAACTAAATGGGTCTAACTAGAACAATGCTTATGCGTTGAGAGGAAAGAAACAATAACACACACACACAAACTAATATATAAGCAAGACCTCTGAAGAATCATGGAATTGGAGCCATGGTCTGTAGTCAGTCTTTGATAATTATTAATTTGTACAAGTGGCAATGAGAGTCTTCTCATTAAAAAGAGAAAGTTAACTCTTTTCTATGAACATTGAAATGGCTATCCTTATACTGCTTTATAGAGCTTTGCCATGAAACTGTATAACATTCAATATCACATGCTACCTCCTCCATGACCCTTTTTCTGGACTTCCATCCCAAGCATTTTTCTTTTACATTGCTAATCACACTCTGATCATTGAAAAATTATGTTTCTTTACCTGATTAAAACATATCTTTAAAATGGATATCAATTGTTTTATCCAACTTTATTTATTAATGCATTCATTTACTTAAGCAGTCCTCTCTTGAGACAGATTTAGTTTGTTTCCAATAGACCTCTGATGAAGAAATGAATAAGTGAGTGAATGAATGAATGAATGCATGAGTGAATGAAAAATCAAGGTGGAGCTGAGAGGTCCTAGCTCTAACTCTGTTTAACAAGTCACAAGGATACTTTGGCCTCCACTTCTTTGTCTATAACACATTGATATAAATAATTTCTCCTAACCTCAGAATATTTTGAAAGGATGAGATAACACTTTAAAGAGTACTTTGTGAACTTGAACTTAAAGGGACAGTTCTATCATTGCAATATAGCATTACTTTTATTGTTAACGGGCAAATATTTACTTACCAGACTTAATATGATTTTATCCTTACTCATAGAGCTCTGGCATGCAATATTCTCATGATCTGGACTTGTGCCTATGATAAAAAGCAAACATACTGAACAGCTGGGGGAACAGTAACAAGTAAAAGAGGAAGAAATAGTGAGTGTGGCAATATGGGCAGAACAATAAGTGACAAAGGCTTTAACATGTGATATGACTTGTATACTACAGAAATGGATATGTGCACACTGACTCAGAATCAGGGACGGAGCAACCAAGGCCCACAAGGAATCTAAGCCATATAAAATTTCTTAATGGAAATGAACATCTGCACAAATGGCCTTCAAATGGTAGGGTTTTGTGTATGTTTTTGTTTTACTCTTTTTGTAAGCTGATGCTTTTATTTATTTATTTACTTACTTACTTTTACTTATTTATTTATTTATTTACTTATTTACTTACTTACTTACTTATTTATTTATTTAATTTACTTTGATGGGTGAGGGGATCACAACCCTCAGCACGGTGTTGTCTGCACCACGCTCAGCCAGTGGGTGCACCGGCCATCCCTATATAGGATCCGAACCTGTGGCCTCAGTGCTACAAGTGCCGCACTCTCCCGAGTGACCCACGGGGCTGGCCGTGATGCTCTTTTTAAATCAAACACATTACTGGCATAATAACAGAAACTGGATGAAAGAAGTATGAACAATGAGTAGCTAAGTAGCTTTTTTATAGCTTGACAAACAGGTTTTATTAAAAAAATATATATATGCAAAGCTGATCAAATTTGATATCCTTCTAAAACATGCTTTCTTTTTTTTTTTTTTCCTTTTTGTCTTT